TACTCCATAGGGCTGACTGCACCTCAGACCGGTGGCGGAGGAGATCAGACTACAGGGCGGAGGAGATCAGACTACAGGACAGGAGGTTCCGGTGCTTACTCCATAGGGCTGACTGCACCTTGGACCGGTGGAGGTTCCGGTGCTTACTCCATAGGGCTGACTGCACCTTGGACCGGTGGAGGTTCCGGTGTCTACTCCATAGCGATGATGCAGCTGGGACCGGTGGATCCGTGGAGGTAATCAGGTCAACGTGGACGCGGGTCGGTCTTCATCTTCGGTAGAGATCCAGCAGCTCGTGGTAGGTGGCCCTCAGGCCTGGTCAGACGATGGCACCTAGGAGGAGAACTCCAGACTAAGAAGAGCCCAGCAGGGAGCGTGCTCAGGAGTTTTGTTACAGCTAAACCCCGCCCACCGACAACAAGCTCAGCAGTAATTGGCCAACTAACCAAAGTCAAGGCTGGCCATGAAGTATCCCTGACACTAAAACCACCACAGGGCCTGGCCGATGGAGCAATGAACAGCGACCCTACAGGTGAAAATAGATCACTACATCAAAACCCAAAAATACAGATCCGGTTGGAAGCCACTTTAGGGAACACATCCCTACAAGTCTCTACACAAGGCCATGTTCACACTACCAGAGGTTCCTCTGAGCTCCACAAGGTGGTGCTCTTACCTACCAGACAGGAAGCCTCTATGGAAAATGAACAGGAAGTGATGTCACATACAGACAGGAAGTTCTAGCTCTGAGGTGATTTTGGAGGAAGTAGAGAGGAGACATTGCTGGAACTGGCAGCAGAGGAGGTGAGAAGATATTATTTTATATTTAGACAAAGTAACCCCTCCCCCCGTCATGTCGGTCCTCACGTACATATATATATAGCGTAGAAACGTATATTAACCGCCGGGGTCGAAACATTTCCCCCACTCAGGGAGATGGAAGTTGAGACAATCGTCGATCATAAGAGCGGGAAGGGCATCACATTCTGATTGGGTGTATGCGAAGGTTTGGAAGGATTACCCTTCCGGCTGTGTCAAGAATCTTGTTTGAGTATATGCGCATGGTATGGTCCACAGAACCAGGCCTGGGCGTGCGCTCCTACGTGGATGTGCATGCGCTCACCGGCGTGTGCACGTGCTACAGATTCTGTCTGAGTGATCGTCAGCTGTTTGCTTCCGAGATCCCGACCGTGGTTCCAGTTACCGACCGCAGCTCGTCTCGACCATCCTGCCGATCTTCAGTGTTCCCCCGAGACCCGCCTTGTTCCCGACTCGGCTGTTCCGGTCCTGAGTTGTCTGCGCGGCTCTGATCCCGGATTTTATTTATAATGACGTAAGCTCCGGCACTACGTGTATCAGAAATAAGGGAAGCCGGTCAAACGCTTGGGGTTTATGAAGATCCCTCATGGTTCCAGGAAGATCTTGGGGACATGATCCCCATGGACTTCATTGTCCATGTTCCCCCCTCTGAAGGTTTCTCAAGAATTTTTGTGGTGGTTGATCGCCTCTCGAAGATGTCCCATAGGAGGGGTGTTCCGTCTGCTGCTGAAACGGCCCGAATCTTCTTGAGGGACGTCGTTGGGCTCCAACGGGTTTTCCTAGTGACGTCATCTCCGATCGTGGGGCTCAGTTTACTTCTATGTTCTGGAAGGCGTTGCGTGAAGCTCCGCCCATCCAACTCGGGTTCTCTTCCGCTCATCAACCTAAACGGCCAAACGGAACGAACGAATGAATCAGAGTCTAGAACAATATCTCCATTGCTGTTCATGTCCAACTATCAAGTTTGGAAGGAGGAAGAAGGAGAAGGGTTCTTACCACAAGAGAGGGATGCAAACACGATCGGCATTGAAGAGAAGTATGGTCAGAGAAGACTTGGAGACGAAGCACTTAGGTGAAATAGGCAAAGCAGCCGGATCCTCACTCCATTCCACCATCACCGATCGCTCATTGATTCTCAAAGCTTCATCCCAAAAAGGTCCCAACTTCAGACAAGACCAGAGAACATGGAGCATTGTACCATAGAATGAATGACACCTCCGAAGAACAGGATCTTCACACAGCGCCCCTCCCCCCAATGTCCTCCATCCAGAGTCACCACATCCTATGACATCACACCGACCTCACATCTCCTCCTCCCAATGTCCTCCAACCAGAGTCACCACATCCTATGACATCACACTGACCTCTGCGGTGCCGGGGATTCTGGGACATGATCCAGGAACAGACAAGGGGCGTGTCTGGGTGGTGACGGGAGAGGTGGGCGGTGCCGGGGATTCTGGGACATGATCCAGGAACAGACAAGGGGCGTGTCTGGGTGGTGACGGTATCATTGTGTGTGTCAGGTTCCTATAAGGTGTCAGGATGTCTCTGTCTATCTCTCCATGGAGGAGTGGGAGTATCTAGAAGGACACCGGGATCTCTACAAGGACGTGGTGATGGAGAATGCCCCGCCCCTCACATCACCGGGTAAGAGGAGAGAGCAGTACGGAGGCTCCGCCTACATCCCCCATCATCTGATACACACATAGAAACAATGTATTCAGTCAGTGTGTGTGTTCCCTACAGATGGATCCAGTAAGAGGAACCCACCAGAGAGATGTCCACGCCCCCTGTCTTCCCGGGACTCCACCCAGGAAGATCTCACCCTCCCCCACCATGATCAGGTAGATGATGGACAATCTCTGATAAATATGATTTATATAAAAAGCGTGTGTTATAACAAATGATTAATATATACTCAGAGTGGAATCCTCGGGGAGAATATTGTTAAAGAAGAGTATAAGGAGGAGGATGAGGAGTACGGGGTGATGGAGGAGCTTTCGGAAGGACACAAGGATATGATGGACCCACCAGAGAGATGTCCCCGCCCCCTCTATTCCCGGGACTCCACCCAGGAGGATCTCACCGTCCCCCACCATGATCAGGTAGGTGGAGTTGAGGGGCGGGAACATAAAGTGATGGAACGCTCTGACATGTGGAGATGACGTGTGGACTCTACAAGATGAGATCTTCTATGTGATGTCACATCATAAATACTTCTATGTCACAGATGAGACTTTCTGCCGTTCTGTTGGTTTAGGGTGAAGATCTGATGAAGATGAAAGTTGAGGGTGAAGTAGAAGAGACGTATGTGAGGGATGATCAGCGATATACGGAGGAGGCCGGGATGATGAGGACGTCCATAGAGGAGGACACGCCTACAGAGATCGGCAGAGGTGGGTCATAATATGTTCTTCAGGTTGAGGTGAACCGCTCATGTCCTCCAATAATCTCCTCATTTCTATTTGTAGTCCACGGACGGGACGTCGGGAAGATCTCAGAGGAACGTCTCACGTTGCCTCCAGAAGAGGAGGACATCACACGGCATTGTCCAGGAGAAGACCCAAGCACCCCAAATATGCAATCGTTGCCACACACTGAGAAATGTGTTCTCGAAAAGCCAGATTTGTGTATGGAGTGTGGGAAAAGTTTTGGCAGTAAATACGATCTGACGGTGCACGAGAAATCTCACGGGGACAAAAGGCGCCATTCCTGTTCAGAGTGCGGGAAAAGTTTTCTGCGAGAGGCGACACTCAGAGAGCATCAGAAGTTACACACGGCGGAGAAGCCGTTTAATTGCCCCGCGTGTGGGAAAAGTTATACACGTAAACACGGACTTATTCAACATCAGAAAACCCACACGGGGGAGAAGCCGTATGCATGCTCTGTGTGTGGGAAAGGCTTTCTGCGGAAGGCGACTCTCAGAGAGCACGAAAAGTTACACACGGGTGAGAAGCCGCATTTTTGCTCCGTGTGTGGGAAAGGCTTTGCACATAAAAACGTACTTGTTAGACATCAGAAATCTCACACAGAGGAGAAGCCTTATTCGTGCTCTCAGTGCAGCAAAGCTTTCTCGGTAAAGTTCTATCTCTCTAGACATCAGAGGTACCACAAAAGTGAGAAGCCGTATTCCTTTTCCGAGTGTGGGAAAGGTTTTGCATGTGTCCAAGATCTTACAAGACACCAGAAAACTCACACAGACAGGAAGCCGTATTCTTGTCCTGAGTGCGGAAAATGTTATCAAACGAAATCAGAACTTATTATACATCAAAGTTTTCACACAGGCAAGGAACTGTATGCATGTTCCGAGTGCGGGAAAATCTTTTCACACAAGTCTGACCTATCCAAACATCTAAGTGTGCACGTGAGTGAGAAGCCATACTCCTGCTCCGAGTGTGGGAAAAGTTTTAGAACAATGGTCCATCTTGACATACATCAGAGAATTCACACAGGGGAGAAGCCTTATGCCTGCCCTCAGTGTGGAAAATGTTTTGCCAGGAATTCAAGTGCTCACAGGCACCAAAGATCTCACACAGGGGAGAGGCCATATTCTTGTCTGAGTGTGGGAAAGGTTTTTTACAGACGTGGGCTCTTACCACACACCTAAAATGTCACACGGACGAGAGGCCGTATTCCTGCTCTGAGTGCGGCATTAGTTACACACGGAACTTTTTCCTAGACAGACATCAGAGATCTCACACGGGGGAGAAGCCGCATTTGTGCCCTGAGTGTGGGAAAAGTTTTTCACAGAAGTCAGAACTTCTTATACATCAGAGATCTCACACATACGCTGTCCTGAGTGTGGAAAAAATTGCCAGAATAAATCAAGTCTTAACATACATCAGAGGCTGCATAGGGGCGAGAAGCCCCATTCCTGTCTTGAGTGTGGGAAAGGTTTTTTCGCAGATGTCGCATCTCACCAGGCATCATATACCTCACACTGGCAAGAAGCCATATACCTGCGCCGAGTGCGGGAAAGGCTTTTGGGACAAATCCCAACTCATTAGAGATCAGGTCTTCCATGTGGTCGTCAAACCGGAATCCTATCCCCAGTGCAGTAAATGCTTCGTGTCTCAATCTCACTTCACCTTGCATAAATGGTCTCCCGCATAATAGTGATCTCAGAGTTGCTTCAAAGCAGGAGGTCAGACAATGTTTACATACAAAAAATTAATAAATGTCTTCAGATTTGTTTATTGAATGTTCTTCTTGATACTTCGTCCTTTCTGACCCCACATGGTGGCCTACCGGGTCTCTCACGAAGGCTGGGGTTTGGTCCTTCTCCGTCCCAGTGATGTCCTCATTCTCCTGTGGGCCGCTGGATCTTATTTAGAAAAGTTGGGAGCCGGTCTGTGGGCGTTGCTCTTCATCAGGCTTCTCTGGTGGGTGTATTTCTCTTTTTCCAACTCTAGATGGCTGCACAGCACCACAAATGCCATCCATGGTCAGTTCATGGGATAAGGTGGAGCGATCGTGGCCCCGGCATTGAGGGAGGAGACAAAAGCTTCTCCAGAAGCTAAGAAGACCACCGGTCATGGACTAAGATGATCAGTCTTGGACTTAGATGACCAGTACTGGGCTAAGATGACCAGTCATGGACTAAGATGACCAGTCTTGGACTAAGATGACCAGTCTTGGACTAAGATGACCAGTCTTGGACTAAGATGACCAGTCATGGACTAAGATGACCAGTC